GATGGATGGATTGACGTATGTTCGTATGTGTGTACGTATCATGCCCTCTTCGCCTCTATCTCTTTATTTCTCTCTCCATCTCTCTCTCCATCTCTCTCTCTCTCTCTTCTGCCACATGTCCTTCCCTTGTCCTAACCCTCTACCCACATGTTGCCTTGTGTGCCCTTCTCCACGCCCATCCTTCTCTCTTGACGTCCACTTTTTCCCCCTCTCCTCCAACTTCCCCCCTTCCCCCCCGCCCCCTGCCACACTCCTCCTTCCACCTCCACCCTCTTCCCTCACTCCCACCCCGAACAGGCCACGTGGACTGGCGGTCAGGTAATTCCCAGGCAGTTCGCTCCCTTCCCGAACCCTGTGCTCCTTCCCTCCCTTCTTCCCACCTCTTCCGCCCCCCCCCTCCTCGCCCATCTCCCTGTGCTTACCCCGCTCCTCCTTTCCCTCCTGCCCCCCCGGTTTTTCGGCCCGCCGAGAGGAGGCAGACAATTGGGGAGACAGGCGCCCGAACCGCAGCCTTGCATCACGGTGGCGTTGGAGAGGGCCCCGTCCACTCGCACGCGTCCGCACCGCCCAGTACAACTTTCCCTGGCCCCATTGGGAGTTCCACCGAAGTCCTCAATGGCGACATTTGCATGCGTTCGCCCAACCCACTACAGCGCTTCGTGGCCCCATGGGGAGCTCCACCAAAGGCCCCAGTGGCGACGCTCGCATGTGTCCGTTCCACCTAGCAAAGCGTTTCGCGGCCCCACAGGGAGCTCCACCGAAGGCCCCAGTGGCGACGTTCGAATGGCGGCTCCGCCCCATTCCGGAACACCCCTCACACGGTTCGTGGCCCCATAGGGGGGTACACCTAATGTCCCAGTAGCAGCGCCCTCATGGCGGCCTTGCCCCATTTCGGCACACCCTTTAGACGCTTCATGGCCCCATAAGGAGATCCACCGAAGGCGACACCCACAACCGAGATACTCACAGCTGCACGTGCTTGGGCCCTCCGCCCGGGTAGGTGTGCCAGGTCTGCACCGCTTCCGCCCGGACTGCGCGCGGCTCGCGCACAAAATGCCTCGGAGGATAATGCCAGAGGACGAGGAGGAGGACGAGGAGGAGGAGGGAGGAAGGGAGGGAGGGAGGCAGGGAGGCAAGGAGGGAGGGAGGAGGAGGAGGAGGAGGAGGAGGAGGAGGAGAAGGAGGAGGAGGATAAGGGCCCAGACCTCCAACGTCTCTAGAAACTCGAGACAGGTTCTCGCACTTTTCGGCCTCTTCGGTCCCTCGCCCAGCCCCAAGGACCGTCAAAAAACGGTCAGCATGCAGGACCAGCCCAGGGGAATGACAAGGTCCAGACCCCCTCCTCCTCCTCTCCTCCTCTTCCTCCTCCTCCTCCTCCGCTTCCTCCTCCTCCTCCTCCTCCTCCTCCTCCTCCTCCTCCTCCTCCTTCTCCTCCTAGCATCCTCGTGCCTGGAGGACACGACGTCACCGTCACGGGTACGGTGGTGTGGTGTCGGCGGTGTGGGGCCTACGGGTCGGACAGGGTGGGCAGAGCCTTTGCGGCCCCATGCCCTGATCCGCAGGAGTTACCCACGAGTCGCAAGCGTGTGCTCCGCGTGTTGGCTAAGGGGCAGCACCCCAAGAAGGGCAAGACCCTCGAAGCCAAGGAGGTCCTTGCCGCCCTCGCGGGCAGTAGGGCACCCGACGAGGAGACTGAGGAGCCTGACAGTGCTGGAGACCTGACTGGCAACGCTGATGGAGGCGGGGAGGTTGTCGGTGAGCCGTCGGGGGGGGAAACGGATACTGACGCTACGAGCAAGCCTGCCGTGCGGTGGGCAAGTAGGTCCAGCGACACACGTGCTGCGAGGATTGAGGCGGTTCACATGGCTGCCGTGTGTCCTAGTTCTGGAGTCAAACCGTCGGGTTACCGCGACCTGGCGGGGGAGGGGGCGCGCGACGGCCAGCGCCTGCGTCTCCCAGGGGGGCTTTTGGCCGACACTCAGCCTCCTTCGGGGCCGACAGGCCCAGTGTCAGCTGAAGGCCCCCATAGCTCGGTGAACGCCACGCCTCATGCGCGGAGGGCTGCAGGCAGGGGGGGAGCCCCTGACGCGCCTCAGACGCCTGCTGCTGCGGGTGCGCCTGATGCTGGCCACTCCCAGTCGAGAGCGCGGAGGGCGGCAGTCAGGAGCGGAGCTCGTGACGCGCCGCCTAGGCGGGGAGGCGGAGGCGGGGTGGTGACGTTGGGTGGGGAAGGGAGCACCGCTGCTGCGAGCAGGCCTGCTGAGCAGTGGGCGAGCTCGCTCGGAGGCATCTGTGCTGCGGGACTGAAAGGCCCAGGGTCGGCTGACGGCCCCCAGGCCCCTGTGCCAGTCCTGCCTAGTGTGCTCCGTGCTGCGGGCAAGAGGGCCGACCCTGAGGCGCCTCCGTCGCCTGCAGGTACCGCAGGTACAGGCACGCCTGTCGCAGGCCCCTCCCAGTCAGGGGCCTGGAGCGCTGCGGTCGGGAGCGGAGCTCCTGGCGCGTCTCCACGGCTCCACGCTGAGGAGGCGAGGCCGTGTGGTGGGGACGGGGGCGGGGTCGCGTGGTCGTCGTCGGTGGGGGTGGGGGAAGCACCTCGGCGCTGACGCCTGAGTTCGACGATGAAAGGCGGGCCCGCATTGTCCAGAGGTTGCTGCGGGCGGCGCGGGGTGAGACGCCCGTGGCGGAATTGAGCCAGGCCCAAGCGCCTGGCCTGCATGGTCGGAGGGCCTCGTGTGGGCCGTGGGCTGGACCCCAGGAAGGGTAGGCTCACTGGGCCTCGGGCCGACTGCTAAGCCAGTGGTTGGCCCCTGACCCTCGTCTCTGTGCAGCAGGGGTCCGTGCTTGGACTCTTGCTCGTGGTCATTCCCATTCCCTCCTCCTCCTCCTCCTCCTCCTCCTCCTCCTCCTCCTCCTCCTCCTCCTCCTCCTCCTCCTCCTCCCCCTCCCCCCCCATCCCCCTCCTCCTCTTCCTCCTCCTCCTCTTCCCCAGCCTCCCGCCCCGCGGGGCGGAGCGACGCGCTGGTCGTTGGCAGGGCACAGCGTGGCGCCAGGGCCGCAGCGGCGACGCGCTGAGCAAGAGTTCCTGGTCGTATGCGACAGCGTGCTTGTTAGGAACACGAGGGCGAGGAGGAGGAGGTGGAGATGGGGGTGGAGGAGGAGGAGGAGGAGGAAGAGGAGGAGGAGGAGGAGGAGAACCCCAGTGGGCGAGCGGCTGCGTTGCCGAGCAGACGAAGCAAGGCACGAGCTCGCAGCTTGTCTCGACACCCTCGGAGATCATGTGGGCGCAAGCGGCTGCCGCCGCTAATCTCAAGAGCACGTGCCCCTTCCAGGAGCACGAGGGGTGGGACGGTATGCTCCTATAGCAGGTTGCCACATCTAGTGTCTTGCACCCGCTTCTTTCTCGTCTGGTTTGGATGCTTTTCTTTGCGCCGCTGCTGCACTTGGCACCAATGCGGGAGGGGCAGGCCCAAGCCCAAGTCGGCCGCAGCCAAAGCCGGCGCCGCGGCTGCAGCCAAAGCCGCGGACGTAAGGGGGCACGAAGGGCAGGCACACGATGAAAGGATACGTGGGCAGATGATGATGCTGCTGCTAATGATGATGGTGATGATGGTCATGATGATGATGGTGATAATGATGATGGTGGTGGTGGTGGTGATGCTGCTGCTGATGATGGTGATGAGGGTGCTGTTTTGATGGTGATGTTGTTGATTATGAGGATGATGATGCTGATCATGATGACGATGATGTGATGATGATGGTGATGATGATGATGATGATGATGATGATGATGATGATGCTGATGATGATGATGATGAAGGTCATGATGATGGTGGTGATGGTGACGATGATAGTGATGGTGATGTTGATGATGGTGGCGATGATGATAGTGCTGCTGATGATGATGGTTGTGATGGACGGGGGGGAGAAGGAAAGTCGCAGGCACAGCGAGAGGGGTCGTTCGGGCACTAGGGGGCCAGATGCAGAGAAGTGCCACCAGCCAGCAGCAGGCGGAGGCTGCGAACCAGCAGGCCGGATGGGAGGAATCTACCTAGCAGAAAAGCAGGTTCGCAGAACTCCGACGTCGTGCTTCTTTGCAGCGTGGACCCCCGTAACTCTGCACCTCTTCCTTCGGACCAGCTTCTCACCCGGAGGAGAGTTGTGACGGCCCCAGGGCCCGGTCAGGGCCCCCCGGAAACCGGAAGCTTCCCAAAGCCGTTTGCCTTGGCCTGCTCACGACGAGAGGGTGCCCGGGGCTGAGCATCTTCGGCACAGGCACAGCCTGTCCCATCCACAAGGTCCTTAGGCTGGACAGCAGCGAGGAGCCTACTGCCTCTCGGGCGAGAGGCTGGGGCGCTCGCGCATCACTGCATCGTCAGCAGTCGTCTTCGGCACAGTCTTGTCCTCGCTCCTCCTCCTGGGCTCCCTCTGAGTCGATGATCTGCTCGGCTTGTTGGCAAGATGCCACTGGGCCCGCCCCCGTCAACCCCGTAATCATGCTGGCGGGTTCCTCGCCGTCGCTGGGCGCATAGCGGCCCGCGAAGCTCAATCAGGAAGGTCTCGGTGCTGCTTTCGTGGCCGGCTGCTGGGGCGGCGAGCTCCCGCTCGCCTCCTCGAGGGGGACGTGCAGTGTTCCAGGTCATCCTCGGGGCTCGTCGGTGCACAAGATCCGAGAGGAAAGCCGACATCGGCTCTCGGGCTCAAGGCCATCGTCGCTGAGGCGACAGCGACATCGCACGACGCGCCACGGTCGACCGCGACCTCCGGCGCCGAACTCTTGCTTCGTCGTGGCGGCCTGGGCCCGTGGCAGCCTGAAGTCAGGTATCGGCCTGGCGCACGGGCAAACTGACTGCTCGTGCTGAAAATTTTGGCATCTACCTTTGCGGGACGCCTGTTGAAGGAGGAGTAGGAGGAGGGGGAAGAGGACGATTGCGAGGAGGATGAGGCGGGGAGGGGAGGATGAATGGGAGAAGGATGAGTATGTAGATGATGAGCAGCAGGATGAGGAGGAGCAGGAGGAGAAGGATCACGAGGAAGATGAACATGATGATGATGGTGGTGGTGGTGAGGGTGGCCATGATGTCAACGATTATGACGATGATGATGATGATGATGATGATGATGATGATGATGATGATGATGATGATGATGATGATGATGATGATGCGACGGTGACAAGGATGACGCCGATGTTGAGGATGATGGTGTAGACGGCGGTGATGAGAACTGTGATGATGATGCTGATGATGGCAATGACGAATGTTGATGGTGATTGTGATGCTGATGCTGATGCTGCCGTGCTAAGGATGCAGATAAGTGTTGTGATGATGATGTGCTGTTGATGACGATGCTGAGGATGATATGGACGATGATCATGTTGATATTGTTGGTGGTGGTGATGACCACGACGATGATGATTATGATGTTGATGATGATAATGATGGTGATGATGATGATGATGATGAGTGTGATGCTGATGTTGACAATGAAATGGGGATGACGACGACGGTGACAACGATGATGGCGGTGATGATTGTAATGCTGATGTTGTCGTTGATTAGTGGTGATGGCGACGACAGAGTTTCAGATGGTGATGGTGATGATGATGATGGTGATGATACCGAGTTTGTTGATGATGTTCTTCACGACGGTGATGATGATGATGATGATGATGATGATGATGATGATGATGATGATGATGATGATTGTGGTGATGATGATTTGGACGATGACGATGACAATGCTGCTGATGACAACGATTGTTATTGATGATGATAATGATGTTGCGATTGTTGTTGATCATGATGCGGATGATGATGCCGATGATCGTGATGACGATGGTAACACTGATGATGATGTTGTCGATGATGGCGACGATGATTGCGGTTATGCTGTCGATGGTCACGATGTCTGATGGTGAGGGTGATGATGATGATGATGATGATGCTAATGCTGCTGATAATGCCGCTTTTGATGATATGCTGTTGACGGTGATTGTGACGATGAGATGTGCGATGGTCATCACAGGGCTTGTGGTGATGGTGCCGACGACGATACTGCTGATGATGATGACGGTGATGTTGATGACGATTCTGATGATGATGTTGTTGATTATGATGATGGCGACGACGGTGACACCGATGATGACGATGCTATTACTGATGACGTTCTTGACTGATGGTGAAGATGACGGTGATATGATGATCATGGTGATGATGTTGATGATCATGGCGAGGATGATGTTGATGATGCTGGCGACGATAATGATGATGATCATGATGATATTGAGGCGCTATGTGTTATGATGGTGGTGTTGATGATGATGGGTTTGATGCGGATGAGGGTGATCATGTTGTTGGTAATGATGATGATGATGAAGAAGATGATGATGATGATGATGATGATGATGATGATGATGATGATGATGATGATGATGATGCTTATGATGCGGGTGATGATGGTGATGGTGATGGTGATTCGGGGAAACGTAAGACTCGAGTAAGCCAGAACTCGAGTTCGCCGACGTTTTGTGACGAGCGCGTCTTGGATTTTGACCGTCCAGCTTTCGTGGGATGTCTGCAGCGGGAGCTCGCGTCAAATTTCACATAGGGTCTTGTCATTTTTATGATGGCCCCGTCAGGCCAACCCGAGTCCCCCGTACCCGAGTCTTACGTCTCACCGATGATGGTGGTGATGTTGCTGCTGCTGATGATGATGATGATGAGTATGATCATGATGATGATTATCATGATGATGATGATGATGAGGAGGAGGATGAGGATGAGGATGAGGATGAGGATGAGGATGATTATAATGATGAGGATGCTGATTATAATGCTGATGGTGATGATGATCATATTGTTGTTGTTGTCGTTGATGGTTCTGGTGGTAGTGGTGAGGATACGGGTGACGAGTGATGATGACGATGATGCTGCTGCCGATGCTGCTGCCGATGATGATGATGATGATGATGATGATGATGATGATGGTGATGCTGATGATGGTAATGATGCTGATGCTGATGCTGATGGTACCACTGCTGCTGCTGCTGCTGATGATGATGATGATGATGATGACGATTCTGATACAGAGGATGATGAGAAGGAGGAGCAGGAGGAGGAGAAGGATGGTGATAGTGCTGATATTTCCGTAGCCATTTGGGCTAAAGTCGGGCTCAAACTGCGCGCGCGCCGACTTGGGCATGGCATCGCGGGAGAATGCGGAATTTGCGCATCCAAGGAGGTCAGCTGCAGAGAGGAACACTACTAGGCAATGGGCGAAGCTGTCGGCGGACAAAGCAGTACAGCGGCTTCGGCAAGAACTCACTAACCATAAAGAGAAGTACGGCAATCTTTTACACACTGTGGGTTTGCTGCTTGGACTGGGCCCGCATGCGGCAGGCCGAATCCTATCGGTTGTACCCGTGCTCGTTGCCAAGCTCGAGGGTTCCAACATCTCCGGCACCGCCAAACTTTGGAGAAATGTTGCCCTACATTCGGTGGCCAAAGATATTGACGTCTTGACTGCGTCGCCCCACCAACTAAGGGAAGCAGAACGCGGGCCACGTTTAGGCAGGCTGCCGCTCAAGTCGGGGACATCCAGCTTCACAGAGCAGGACATCAACTGTGCCAGCAAGGTTCCATATCATGCATTACATACCGAGTTGTTCAGGGATTTCGACACAGTCTTGTACGGTGGACCACCCGAGAGTTTCGAGTGGTATTTTGAAGCCCCTACCTTTCCACATCGGGGGGCAGGAACGGGACTTGAGCAGTGGATGGTGGACTTTGCCAGTGGAAATGGGAACGCCGTTTTTGGCGCGACCCCCTTCACGGAGGCTGTTCAACCTGACGATGGGCCTGCCGAGGGCCCACCAGAAGTTGAGGTGCAGTGTGCGCACCAAGCTGCTGATCAGCATGTTGAGCAAGCCGTTCATAAGCCTGCCAAGGACGTGCGAGGTGGCAGTTCTGAACAGCAGCATCCTGACCCTGTCTTTCAGCATGATAGCGCTGGGGCAACTCAGCCTGAGTGTGTCGAAGGTGGTCCTGATATTTCTAGCCTTTTCGGTGTTGCCGATGCTACAACTTGGGATCAGCATGACGAAGCCGCTGATAATGTACATCCAGGTGTTCTCCCTGGGCCTGCTGGGCCTGCTGCTTGTCCTGCAGTCATTGCTGAAGCCGTGCCTCACGACCTACGTGGTGGTCATGTTGCTCGTTCGGAGGATGACGGTGGTTGCCAAGTTGATCTTCACACAGAACGGCCCCACGATGAAGGGCAACAGGCTTTGGGCAGCCTTGTGGCTATCTGACAGAGTTGCAGCAACGCTTTTTTTTCAGGAATCTTCAAGTCCTTTGCTGGAGATAGTGCTACAAACCCGTCGGTTAAAAAAGAACGCTGAGAGTGCCGAGTTGGAGGTAGAGCGCGTGATCAACACAGAGACGCACGTCGAGTCTGAACCCTGGCTTCGCGGGCCATGGATGTACCACGCGCAGCTTGCGGAGCGCGGAAAGAACAAGAAACTGCTAGAAATCCTTGGCACCTTTGTGTCTCACCGTGTTGCTGGTCTGGTCAAGTCCGAGAGGAGGGCTTCCGCTCTTGCCATGGTGCTCGAGAAGTGCAGTTCCCCATCAATTGCAATACGTTCTCGCGCGAGCCAAGATGACCAACTAAGCAGTCATTCTAGGGAGCCCGACAAGTGCATCATAGTTTGCACCAATTTGGTCGACAGTGGCATGGACGCAGAGAAGGTTAATGCCATCGTTAACTACGACTTGCCTGCTGATCTTGATTATTACTTGCGTTGTGTGGGAGGCTGGGGTAGTATTTCAATCATTGGCCCGGTGATTGTTTTTTCGGCTACCGCCAGCGATGCCGAGGTTTTGGCTACAAGCCAGCATCGGCTTCAGGTCAACTTCTGCGATTTGGCCTCTGATGGTGGGGTCTTGTTGCAGAGCATCGCAAAAGGTGTTTGCAGGCAAGCAGGTTTCTGCGTAACTGGTGATGCGTCTCTGTATATCTGTTATCCTGTCCCCAGCCGGGCAGCAATGACAAGTGATTGAAGGAGGAATGTAGCATCAGGCATGGAGTGTTAGACAATTCCAGTTTGTTGCTGAAGCAGGGTTCGCCCCTCCCCCCTGCTCCCTTATTTCTGCCCTCCCTATTATCCTCTCCCCCTCCTTCCCCGATTTCGCCCTTCACACCACGGTCTCCCCGCAGGGAGCTGGAGGTGGTGGAATCACGACGACGCCAATGGCGATAGGGGACGAGACGTGGGGGGGAGGAGGAGGAGCGAGGGTTTGACTTAGAGAGCGCGGCTGTCGCGCTCGGGTATCCTAAACAGCGAAGCTATGGGTCCTCTGTTATATTCCAACCTTATCCTATGCTGTGGGGGTATCTTCGCTGTTTAGGGCCAGCCTCCCTCCAGCCAGGGTGCGAAGTGAGCGGAACCACGCTCAGCACTTGCCATCTACTTTAAAGCAGGTTCCCATCCTGGAGGTGGGGGAGGCGGAGGTCACATGCGGGGGCGGGAGTGTGGAGGATGGAGGACCCCCTCCCGCAGTTGCGTGGCCTTGCTGCCGACCGCAACTAGGTCAGGCAGCTCAGAGGCATCCGCAGCCTTTCTACCTCCCATTTCCCCTTTCTCACGGGTGGTTTGATCTGTCTTAGCTTTATTGCTCTGTGCTCGCTGACCCGCTTTGTCTTGTCTTGTCAGTGATGATATTTTTTTTTCGGAGGGGGAGGACGGGGGGGCGGAGGAGGCGGAGGGGATGGGAGGAGCATCGACAGCAACAACATCATGAGGAGGAACAGCAGGAGAAGGAAGAGGTGAACCAGGAACACGAGCAAGGGCAGCAGTAGGGGATCGCTCAAGAGTCCGCGCGCGGACCGCGGGAGGCTGCCAAGGCGGCGGCGCAGCGGGCGGCCGCCAGGGCTTCGTCCAGCGCTGCTGCCGCTCCTGTCCCGACGTCCTGGGACGAAGGCGACGACTCGCCGACTGCAGGACCGGCTCGCGTAGCCAGCCTCAGGAGGAGTCAGATTGGCGGGGGACGGGGAAAACGACGAGGAGGAGGAGGAGGAGGAGGAGGAGGAGGAGGAGGAGGAGGAGGAGCGGGAGGAGGAGGAGGAGGAGGAGGAGGAGGAGGAGGAGGAGGAGGGAGGAGGAGGAGGGAGGAGGAGGAGGGGACGAGCGGGAGGAGGAAACGGAGGAGGAGGAGGAGGAGGAGAGGAGGAGGGGGCATGACTGAAAGGTGAGAGGAGGAGGAGGGGAAGGAGGAGGATATGGAGGCGGAGGCGGAGGGGGAGGGGGAGGAGGAGGAGGAGGAGGAGGAGGAGGAGGAGGGAGGAGGAGGAGGAGGAGGAGGAGGAGGAGGAGGAGGAGAGGAGGGGGACGAGCGGGAGGAGGAGAGGAGGAGGAGGGGAGGAGGAGGGGGCATGACTGAAAGGTGAGTGGAGGAGGAGGGGAAGGAGGAGGATGTGGAGGAGGAGGGGGAGGTGGAGGGGGAGGAGGAGGAGGAGGAGGAGGAGGAGGAGGAGGAGGTGGAGGAGAGGGAGAACTCGCTGGCAGCGGCAATGTGGAGGAGAAAGAGGAGGAGGAGGAGTAGGAGGAGGAGCAAGAGGAAGAATAATAATAATCAGAAGATGAATCATACTAGTACTACTAATAATAGTAATATGAAGAAGCCGAAGCAGAAGCAGAAGCATAATCAGAATAATAATTATAACAAGAAAAGTAAGAATACTACTAATATTAATAAGAGTAATAATCATGATACTCATGTTAAGAATCAGAAGAATAATAATACTATTCAGAATACTAAGAATACTAACAATAATAACCAGAAGACGAATAATAATAAGAAATACTAAGAAGAATAATAATAAGAGGAGGAGGAGGAGGAGGAGGAGGTGGAGGATGGGTACCAGTGTAAACCCAAGAGGCGTCAGCAATGTTGCAGTAACCAGATGTGCCCCGTTGGAAGACAAACGTCTGAGAATCTTCGATCGTGTCAAAACTTCACTGCTGGGACTCCAACGCCGCGAATCAACGTGACCGCTCCTTTGTGACCATCCTATATCGTACCACAACAGACCTTCTGGGACTTCAACACTGCGAATCAATCTAAACGTTGCTCCCTGACCATCCCAAATCGTACTTGAACGCCGTTCCTGGGACATCTTTCCCACGCATCCTTGAAATTGCTGTAAACGTTTAAGTAACATGCGCGCGGCGCTAAGGCAGAAACCATTTTTTTTGCAAGGAACGCCGTCCGTCCTTGAAACTGCTACACACTTGTAAGACGAATGCGTGCGGCGCTAAGGCGAGAGCCATACTTCGAACACCACCCGCTCATCGTTGAAACTGGTGCGCTCTCGTGCGCGGCGCTAAGGTGAGAGCCACATTTTGAGAATGGCCATCGCCCTCATCCTTGAAGCAGATGCACAATGTCAGTTGCAGGATCTTAAGTTGTGAGGACGTCTCCGGCGAAACGACGGGCCCGCCCCACCGACACGCTATGGCGTGCGACAGGAGGCGCCCTGTATTCTTCACGTTTGAGGTGCCGCGTGAGGCTTCGGCCCATCGCTTTAGGTTAATTCGTCGCTGCGCGCCCCGCTTTGACTGGACTCGCCGCTGGCGCGCTCGCCTGCGGCCGCTGACTAAAAAGTACCCCCACCGATCCGTAGCCCCCCTTGGCTCAAGCCGTCTCGGCTCGAGCACGCCCCTATTCAGGTTCGCGCGCTCTGCCGGCGATGGATGGGCCTCCCGGGCTGACCCCGGCAGCTATCCAGCCGCCCGATTGCCTAGCGGCCCCCCCCTGGCGGCAGAGGCGGACGGGACGGCAGTGACGGCAACTGGGGTAACCGCCCCGGCACCCCAGCTGCTGTCCAGCCGCCCGAGTGCCCAGCGGCCCCCCCCGGCGGCAGTGGCGGACCGGACGGCAGCGACGGCAACTGGGGTAGCCTCCCTGTCTCCCCCTTCCTATCAGCGGACAGAACTGGCAGTGCGACAGAACAGGCGGACACCCATACGGCTCCTCACTCCTATCAGCGTCCCTGGGGCAGCAGTGCGGTGGTGGCCGGAAAGGCGCTCGACGGCGCGCCCCTTCCTGGAGACAGTACCCTGGCGACAGTCGGGAGCGCTGCAGAGGGCGCGCCCGCGTTCGGAGACGCTCCTCACAGAACTGAACCTCATGAGTGTGTATCGGGATGTACGGCCGTCTGCTACAACAGTCAGCAGGGAGTGCTCGAGAGTGAACACGTGGTCTTCTGCCGAAGCTTGTCGCCCCCTCCCCCTCCTGGAGACTGGCAGGCGGGCGCTCATACGGCTCCTCACTCCCATCAGCGCCCCTGGGGCAGCAGTGCGGTGGAGGCCGGAGAGGCGCTAGACAGCGCGCCCCCTCCTGGAGACAGTGCCCTGGCGAGAGTTGGGAGCGCAGCAGTGGGCGCGCCCGCCATCGGAGACGCCCCTCACCCAATAGAGACTCAGGAGTGTGCTCCAGGAAGTGCGGCCGTTAGTTGCAACAGCCTTCAGCGAGAGCTCGAGAGTGTGCGCGTGGTCGTCTGCCGTGCGGCCGTTAGCTGCAACCGTCTTCGGGGAGAGCTCGGGAGCGAACGCGTGGTCGCCTGCCACAGCTTGTCGTCCCCTCCCCCTCCCGGAGGCCGGCAGGTGTACACCCATTCGGCCCCTCACTCCTATCAGCGTCCCTGGGGCAGCAGCGCGGTGGTGGCCGGAAAGGCGCTCGACGGCGCGCCCCCTCCTGGAAACAGTACCCTGGCAACAGTTTGGGTGCGCTACAGAGGGCGCGCCCGCGCTCGGAGACGTGCCTCACATAATTGAGCCTCGGGAGTGTGCATCGGGAAGTGCGGCCGTATGCTGCAACGGTCTTCAGGGAGTGCTCGAGAATGAACGCGTGGTCGTTTGCCGCAGCCCGTCACCCCCTCCCCCCCTGGAGACCTGCAGACGGACACCCATACGGCTGGGGCTTCGATCAATCATCCGATATACTTTGGATGGGCGACCGTTAGTCGCAACCCTGGCAACCCTAGCATTCCTCAAGTGGGAAGGGTGGAAGGGGGAGATCGACGGGGCTTCGGTCAGCCACAGCGCGTCGGCCCCCCCCCCCTCCTGAAGACCGGCAGGCGGAGGCCTGCGACCAGAGCGCGGGGCAGCGCAGGCAACCAGGCCAGGGGCAAGCTCGACCGAGCAGAGAACCAAAGCAGCATGCGGGGCAAGCGCCAGAAGAGCCCGATGAACGGGAGTTGCCCGCCGCTCACGGGGAGGGCGCGGAAGCGACGCAAACACAGGGAGTGGAGCACTTGCCTGAGCAGGAACATGCAACCGCCCACCGTCACACACCCCTGGCTGCCACTCCTCGCCCTGGCCCTTCAGGAGAGATCCAGGTGGGTGTGGTCTCCTTACTCTGGCGCCGCGCGCTCAAGCCGACGTTCTAGTAAGGGTGACCGTTGGTCAGTCCAGTTCCGCTCCTGTCCATGGCTTCGCGTTCTGCTTTCCCCCCCCCTTGTCCCCTTCTGCGCTTTTCACAAACAGTGTGACCGCTTTTCCCCCCTGGCAGTGCTCCCAGTGAAGACACGCCCGCGGCTGGAGGCTTGCCTCACTTGCTGGAAGAGTAAGGTTCTCATGTTGGGGTCGTGCAGCCGTTTGCCGCAGTCGCCCATGCGTGCCCCTATCTCTCCAGCCCTTCACGACCGGGTCCGGTCACCGCACAGCGCTTGGCCAGCCCCCCCGCCTTTGTGGATCAGGCCCCTGGCGCTGTCAATATTTGGCACGATGCCCTGGCTGGGGCGAGGCGCAAAGTGCGGATGCACGGCCTGCCCGTCTGCCCTTGTGGGTCAGGCCCCTGGCGCTGTCACTACTTGGCACGATGCCCTGGCTGGGGCGAGGCGCAAAGTGCCGATGCACGGCCTGGCCGTCTGCTCTACCTGTGCCCACCTTGGCCTTCACCGCGCCTGGCAGCAGCGCGTTACAGCCCCCTTCTGCTGGCCCAGTGTCGTCCCGAGTCGGCCCCAGCACGGCACCTGGCCCGGCCTCCCCGCCCTGGGGGGCCCGGCCCCCAGGCGCCGTCAATACCGGGTACGCAGTCCGCGCAGGGGCGGGGCGCGACGTGCCATGCGGTCCTGGCCGTTGCTGTAGTTGTTTTCACCCGGTTTGGTTCGGTTTCCCTGGCGCTGGCCCCTTCGTGGCGTCTGCGATTTACGCGTCTTGTCGCAGGCCCCTGGGCTCAGGTTACGTCAGCCCTCGGTGTATGCGACGCCGCTCCGTCCCTCGCGCCTTTGCCTCATTCTGGCTCCGTTGAGTCGGGTCAGGCACCCTGGCGTTCAGGTGACGTACGTTCTGACAAGTTCCTGCGCGAGTGCTTGCACTTCACTGGCCTCTGGCCCCCAGTCACCGCCACATCCTGGCTGTGTCTGGCTCTCCCTGGCCTTTGCTCGGACCTGGCCAGGGCCTGGCTCGGTTTCCCTGGCACTGGCCCTCCTTTCGTCGCAGGCTCCTGGGCTCAGGTCCCGTCAGCCCTCGGTGTATGCGACCCCGCTCCGTCTCCCGCGCCTTTGGCGCTCATTCTGGTTCCGTGGAGCCGGGTGAGACACCCTGGCGTTCTGGTGACGAGTGCTTGCGCTTCCCTGGCTTCTGGTTCCTGTCAGCTGGCCCTATGGGATTCTGGTCCGCCGGTTCACTCAGGACTGGTTCAGCCTTCTTGAACGTCCAGGCGTGTCACCTGGCGGTCCGCTGCCCAGACTTCTGGCGCCATGTGGCGACAAGGTCAAATTCACGTACCTGGTGATTCAGTTCCCATGGTACCCGCACGTTTGCAGCTTCCTGGCAGCCCCAGCAGTTTGCAGTCCCCACCTTCGGCGCTGTTTCTCAGTCTCGGCGGTTGCAGCACGGCCCCCGGCGCAGCTGCAGCAAGGCCCCGGCGCAGCGGCTTCCCCCGGCGGTAGGTCCTGCTTTCCTTTGCGCGCGCGCCGGCAATTAGTTTCGCTCGT